TATTCCGTAATATATTTTAGGTTACAAAATGAAATTAACTTTGTAACAATTTATGGCTGATGTATTAGTTTATAGAGATGTATTAGGTTCCTTTCTATTGTCTGGTAAATATAGTGCATGTCCTAATAAGATGAGAACGTATCTACTCGAGGGGTTCAAGTTGCACCTCAAACATGATAAGTTAAATGACAAACTACAAAGACTGTACCTTAAGTAGATAAGTTCACGTATTCCTTACAGGGAAAAATTCAACTAGGGAATCTTGAGACGCCAGGACGGTGGACTCTGAGCTTAATAAACTACCGCCTTTATTCTCCCCAAACTAACGTATGCGTCACCAGCCTGGTCGTCTTCTCTCAACTCCACCCAACAACGTCAGCTAGAGAAGGTACAGAAAAGGGCCTGCAGAATCATGCTCAGCGCAGAATACTCCGGCTACACCAACGCCTTCTCCACCCTGGAAATGCCATCCCTCAGTGACCTCCACCACCAAGCACTGGAAAGGTTTGGCAGCCAACTAATGCACCACCCTTGTCATCGCCACCTCCTGCCACAGGCAGCCCCCCACCCACCTTGCGCAGTCCGCCACTACAACAAAATTCAGCCCATAAGAGCCCGCACCGATAGATATAAGAACAGCACCATCCATCTATTGTTAAAATAATAAACAACCCTGATTTATGTACTGTACAGCCCTGTAAATGTATTCAATGCATATATCATTATGTCTAAATCAAATGTAAGTCTGTATATTTCAGCCACCGGCTGCAACTCTATTAATAAACCGTTTATTATTATTATTATTATTATTATTATTATTATTATTATTATTATTATTATGTTTGTCTTAAAAGTTCTGTAATCAGAATGAAGGTTAGATTTATTACAAAGGTCAGTTTAGGTTAGGTTAGATCAGGTTATGAAAACACAGACGATCTCTTTGTACCCTCGAGTACCTTACCTACACGAATTAGGAGGAGCTATCAGAAGGTGGCCATCTTGTGTGCCTTACATGGTCTCCTCTGTATACATGGTGGTCGTGTTGTTTTAGTCAGTGGGGTCATTTAATGTTTTCCTTCGTTAGGAATTATGTTTTCTTTTAACCTATGATATATTTCCTCTTTACACTATTTACACGTAGAAATAAATCTCTTAAATTAGTTACAGTGTCAGAGGATTGTTTTCCTAAGGGAGTAAGAAACATGTTTTAGTAACTTTCACCCGCCACCATTAGCGCTGCTGACTCTCCCGGTAAGGTTTGGTTTTTTTACACGTGAAGTCCTCAGTAACATCCTCTCCTTTGTAGAGTCATGTTAATAACTCTTGTGTACGATTTAATAACACTACAAGATTTCCCTTAAGTGTATTACTGAGACAATGTGTCATTGTATTAGATTTTATCAAGGAAGAGGTTATATGTTAAGGGGAACCTGAGAGTCGATTTTATTTTATTATTTTTTTGGTGTGTATTTTTTCGTGTGGGCAGTCAGAAGTAATGATGGTGTGTGTGGGCAGTAATGGCTGGTCCTCATCCACTTAGAATGTCTTGTTTGTGTCGTATCCTTCTCAGATTCCTCCATTAAGACTAAGAATAACCCAGGCATAATTTTACAAAGAGGATTATTATTATTATTTCGTTGCATCATTCTTCATCTTACAATGTGGGGTAATTTACTCGGAAGAAAATAAATCTACTCAAATTTTCTTTCATATGAGGAATTTATTTAACCTATTGTGATGATCTTAACGCTACACCGATCGATAGAATGAGAAGTTATATTAAAATAGAAATTATGTTATGGTTGTGTTATGTCGGGAGAGGGGAGGGGAGAGGGGAGGGGGGAGAGGGGAGGGCGGATGACGTCAAATATGAGGCCGACTGAGGACGTGACGTCATACCAGATGCCCCCCGGGGTGGTACTAGGCTGGGGGACTGCTGTACTGTTAACACTAATTACTGATGGAACACCTGGGATAGTGTTTGTTTATTAATTTATGTTATCCATACGTTTATTTATTATTGTCGTTTGTTTATATATGTATTAATTTAGTATATATATTTATTAATTTATTGTATTTATATAAGTATTAATTTATGGCCTTTACATATTTGATTTAAATTATATCGGTACACATTGTTTATTACTGTATTTTAGGTACTCATATATTTAGTAATTTAATTTATTCACTCTTATAATGTACTTCATTTACACTTATTTTAATTTTCTTTTTTGTTTACTTATCTTTACACATTTATTTTTACTATTATTTATTAGTCATTTTATTAATCGAATGGGAAGTTTCTGTTACATGTCTATCACAACCCAACACAGTTACTGAGGTATTGTTATGGAATCGTATATGTAATGAGTGGATGTCAGTTTTTGGGGGGGTATTTTATGTATATTTTATGTATTTATTATGTATTTGCTTTACATATGTGGATAAAATAAGATGGCCATTAAGAGCGAATTATAAAAATGCACACGAAGATGTAAAGGAGAGAGAGAGAGAGAGAGAGAGAGAGAGAGAGAGAGAGAGAGAGAGAGAGAGAGAGAGAGAGAGAGAAAGAATTTTTGGCGCGTTCAAGTATACAAATATACATACAGTACCACACATACTAACATACATACTTATACATAATTATACACGAACTTGCTGTAATACCAACAAAGAAAGGTTCATTTGTCTGGGTAGTTATGGCTCTCTGGCAGGCGATCGGTTTTTATATGACAAAAGTTTGGTGGTGCAGAAGGAGAAAATCTCGTGATGGAGCGGGAGGAGTTAAGAGGCTATAGGTAGGCTCCCGGGGGCGTGTGAGGCTCCCTTGGGTACTGGGCTACATTATTGAAGCTCCTATTCACCCACGCCACCTATACTGTACTCTCTCTCTCTCTCTCTCTCTCTCTCTCTCTCTCTCTCTCTCAGGGAATAAACCTGAATAAATTATCCATCATTATATAAACAAATAAACTATAGATTTATTTAGTGGTTTATATAAATAGTATAGAGAATAAATTATACTTGTTTTATTTGTTGTGTTTAGAGTTTAATGAAGAGGAGACGGAATTAATTATAAGACATGTAATGTTAGTGTAGGTGTAGATTAGGTTAGGTTAGGTTGGTGTAGATTAGGCAAATAAATTATTCCCAGTTTTGTGTGGATTAAATTGTCTCTCTCTTGTCGCTGTTACAGGTTTCAGGGAATAAATTAGCAAAACTGAAAAAAAATTACTTGGCAGAATTAAATTAAACAATAAATTAATTGAAATAATAAAGTAAAATAGTTGACAGAATAAATTAATAAAGAGAATAAATTAATAACAATAAATTAACAAACAATTACTAGACAAAATGCATTAATGAACAGAATAAATTAGAATACATGATATTTTTTTTTATGAAATTACGTGAATTCTCCTCAAAAGGGTTTTAAAATTTAGCTAATAACGTGGCTGAAATAAATTACCTTTTGTTCTTACCTGGTTATAATTACTGGGGTGGGGGAGAGATGGAGTAATACCCCTGCCTCCCTCCACTCCCTACCCCCCACCTTCCCACCACTCCCCTACTCCCCACCCTTCCCACCGCCCCTACTCCCCACCCTTCAATCAACTCCACTCTCCCTTACCCACCTCTCCCCAACCCTCCTCGCATCCCCTCCCTTCTCCCTCACTTCCCTCACCATTCCCTCACTCTCCCTCCACCACCACTCATCCCCCATCTCTCCCCTCACCCCTCCCTCCCCCACCTCTCCCTTACAGGCTCCCCCCCACCCCACTTACCTGAGGTGTTCTTGTGCTCTAATTGCCTCATTCATATTTTAAGTGAGGCAGTTGAATCACCTGAGCTCAGTCATACTTCCTGACGGTGTGAAATGAGTCTTTATTTTTTGAAAAGAAGTTTTTGCGGTAAAGAACTGTATGGAAGGGGGGGTTAAGACCAAATTTAGTTAAATGAGTTTGGTTAGGTTAGGTTAGGTTTGGTTGCATTTTATGTTGGGTTTTGGTTAGATTGAGTTAGGTGACTGTATTTTATTTGGTTAGGTTTGTTTTGTTTAGGTTAATAATTTACATGGCTATAATTAGGTTAGGTTAGGTTAGATTTAGTGTTAGGTTAGGTTAGGTTAGGTTAGAGTTGGTCTCGTATTCTTTCGTTCAGTTTGGTTAAGTTAAAGATAATGTGACTTAGTAGACAAGACACGTGAAGGTCACTATAGTAATATTGTTACTTATTTTAGTCCATTATTTTTATTATGTTATATGTGTCTTGTGCACGAACACGTAATGGTAGTGCTTTGTTGTCTGTTTGTCTGTGTGTGTGTGTGTGTGGGTGTTCAGTGTGTGTGTGTGTGTGTGTGTGTGTGTCTGGGTGTCTGTGTGTGTGTGTGTGTGTGTGTGTGTGTGTGTGTGTGTGTGTGTGTGTGGGTGTGTGTGGGTGTGGTGTGTGTGTGTGTGTGTCTGGGTGTGTGTGTGTTGGTGGGTGAGTGAGTCTGTCTGGGGTGTGGGTGTGGTTGTCTGCTTGTCTGAGTGGATGTTTAGATGTCTGGGTGGTTGTCTGCTTCTCTGGGTTGATGTCTGCCTGTCTGGGTGGTTGTCTGCTTCTCTGGGTTGATGTCTATATGTCTGGGTGGTTGTTTGCCTGCCTGAGTGGATGTCTGGGTGGATGTTTGCACGTCTCCTCCAAAGACGTTACCTCGTCCAAACCATAAATCTTGTATCCACACACACACACACACACACACACACACACACACACACACCCCCAGACTACCTGAACACACACACACACACACAGGCCACACACACACACACACACACACACACACACACACACACACACCTCTAAAAAAAATGTCCCTCGCCATATTGGGGCAGGATTTCACATTAGTACGGCGTCACTTTTTTTCATTAATATCAAGGGATGGGCTTTTATTCTAACCGTATATAGACAGCAAAATCATATCCAGGTTGTAGTGACGATCTAATCTCTCTTTCCAGGTAACACCCGCGGCTGATACGGTCACCTGGTGGCTCACTCCGCGTGGGGCCGCCCTCACCAGGCCCTCCAAGGTTGGTGCTGTGATGTTCATACGGTATACTGTGCTGTTACTTGATATGTCTCAGTGATGCTGTGAATGGTAGTTTGCTGCTGTGAGCCTTTTAAGCGGTGCTGTGATGCTGTGAGTGATGGTACTGGAGTGTGGTAGTGGTGAGCGTGAATAGTTGTACGGTAGTGTGGTTGTATGAGTGGTAGTGCGGTAATGTGGTTGGTAATGTAGGTGAAGCGATGAGGTATAGCAGTGGATTGGTCTGAGTGACACTAGCTGGCATTTGCGTCACCATGGTAATAATGACAACACTGGTCTCTGATGAGGAGCCTGTGTGTGTGGGTGTGTGTGTGTGTGTGTGTGTGTGTGTGTGTGTGTGTGTGTGTGTGTGGGTGTGTGTGTGTGTGTGTGTGTGTGTGTGTGTGTGGGTGTGTGTGTGGGTGTGTGTGTGTGTGGGTGTGTGTGTGTGTGTGTGGGTGTGGGTGTGTGTGTGTGTGTGTGTGTGTGTGTGTGTGTGTGGGTGTGAGTGTGTGTGTGTGTGTGTGTGTGTGTGTGTGTGTGGGTGTGTGTGTGTGGGGGAGGGTGTGTGTGTGGGTGTGTGTGTGTGTGTGGGTGTGTGTGTGTGTGTGTGTGTGTGTGTGTGTGTGTGTGTGTGTGTGTGTGTGTGTGTGTGTTTCATATCGTTAGCCAATGACAGCTGTGTCTTTATAATCAATAGTGAACAAGTTTAAAGATCACCTGAAAATTTTAGCCCCTCTCCCATATATTATTTCACCTATTGTGGTTAGATTAGGTTAGTATTAAGGTCTTTTAAATCAACAGATGCAATAAACTAAGGGGGTGCCTAATCTTCACGTGATCCAAGGGTTTATTCCACAAGTTGTATATCAATTGACAGCAAGGAAACAAACACTGATGAATGCCTACACCAGTATACAGAGGTACAGTATACTTTGGGACGTGTATATACGGTAAGTAAGTATGTTAGGACCAGTATACTGATGTTGGTGTGAGTGGTGTTGGTGTGAGTGGTGTTGGTGTGAGTGGTGTTGTGAGGGGGGCGGGTGTCAGCGTCCTCCACACTCCGGATATGAGAAAATGTCGGATGTAATGGAAGGAAATTTAGTGTATGTGTCTTTTATGATAGAAGCGCTTAAGGGGGAGGGGGGTTGTTTAGGTCTCTCTCTCTCGGGTTAATGGTCTAGACTAGGGTGATGAGTCAGACGTGTGATTATGGGTGATTATTTAAGCATTATCTTCGTAAGGGTATTGGTGGGGGAATTTCCCTGTTCGCTGAGGAAATTACGAGCGCCGTCTCCCAACACCTCAACTACTACTCCTCATCCTCTCGTGTTTAAGGTGTTCGTCTTTGGGTCTCAACTGTTGTGTTGTTGTTTTTTTTTCCTCTCTCTCTGCTATTTCCGGCACGTGGGGGAAAGTTTTTTATTTTCGTGATATAAAATTTTGTGTGTGTGTGTGTGTGTGTGTGTGTGTGTGTGTGTGTGTGTGTGTGTGTATTTTGATATAGTGGGTCGTTTGTCTTCATTTTATAGCCAGATGGTGTAGTGGGATGGGTATTCAATTTTCTTCTTTCTTCTTTCTTTCTTCTTTCTTCTTTCTTCTTCTTCTCCTCCTCCTCCTCCAAGTATGGTGTGATGTTACAGTAATAGTATTTGTTATTTACCCTCTCCTTAGATGAATCTCTTTAATTGGTGTATATACTTTAGTAGGCCTTTTGGGGTGCTCCACCATGGCCCACTTTGGTGTTCCAGGGGAGGAGACGTGGGGTGGGGAAGGGTGCAAACTGGGGGAGGGGAGGAGGCTGGGGGGGTGGGGGTGCTGAGATGGGTGTAGACTGCCGTAGATGGTACAGGTTGGCATTCACAATATAAGGATGATGGTTTAATAATAGGATAATGGTTTAATACCTCCAGTATGATGTTTAGCCTTTTGAGGATAATATTTTGACGGGATGATGGTTTAACACTCTTGGGATGATGATTTAATTACTCAAAGGCAATGATGTGCCTTTTTACGGACGATGGTTTAGTGAGGTAATGGTTTAACAGCAATAAGATGAATGATTAATTTACTTTTTTGAAGATGATGGTTTTAAAATGGTTTAACACCTTTTGTATACTTGTTTAATGATTAGTTATTCAAAGATGATGTTTTAGATTTGATCACTCTTAGATAGTGGTTTGACCTTTTGAGTAAGAGGAGAGAGAGGCAAGAGGAGGAGGAGGAGGAGGAGGATTAAACCCCTTGAGGATGAGATCATGAGAGCTGAAGTCATCGTCCTCAAAAGGTTAAAAAAATAACCAAAACATTCCCCAAGATAAAGAAAACAGAGACATCACCAAGACAGAGTTATCACGTGGTTACTGAACTGACTCGCCTGAACCCTCTAATTAACTGACTGATTGGCCCACTCAGTCAAGCCGCGAGACACATTCCTCACTCCCCGGGTCGGCTGATGAAGTGGCCGGGGGTGCTCCTTGACTTTGACCCTTCCCAATACTCTCGTGTTTACGTCTGGCGAAGAGTGTATGGTGCTTTTGATAGACCGCCCTGGTGAAAGTTTTATGAAAGTAGGGGGGGGGTGACTTCAGGGGTTCAGAGATGGTATGGTAGTGTGTGTGTGTGCGTGTGCGTGTGCGCGTGCGTGTGTGTGTGTGCGTGTATGTGTGTGTGTGTGTGTGTGCGTGTGCGTGCGTGTGCGTGCGTGTGTGTGCGTGTGTGTGTGTGCGTGTGCGTGTGAGAAAAGGTGTATTTAGTGGGTTTAAAAAGCTGTTGCATCAGTTACAGAAGCCTGAACATGTACAAATATTCAGTTGTGTTGGGGAGATTGAGCTGTTGTTTTTATTTTGTTGAAGGGGTCAAGTCATTTTACTCAACGAGTTTAGTCGTCGTATTCTAGGGGTTAGAATATCTTAACTCAGGGAGAATCGTACTCAAAAGATTAATAACATCATTAGGCTACACGTCACTCATCAGTTAATGTAATACTAACACAGCTCTCGTCGTTACATACTGGAATATACTCATCATGCGAACCAAAAGCGGGGACCAAGTTTACAGTTTGGGTTATGAGAAACAGGTGAGTTAGAGTCTAGATCACCTTCAGGTGTGTATGGTGGAGGTGGGGGGAGACAGGAGGGTGTTGGGTGGGCAGTTACGCGGTTATCACACCACCTCGCCTTATACGTCACCTGCCCAATTAGTGCCGCCTTCCACCCCCTTGTGGGTCTTACGACTCGCCTGTCCTTTAACGCCCACGCATTTACGCCCACAAGTCCTTCCTTTAATGTATTCTTAATTCGCTTGATATGGCCACCCACACGCCCACAAGACCTTCCTTTACTGTATTGTTAATTCATCTGATATGGCCACCCGCACGCCCACAAAACCCTTCCTTGCCCCTGTTGGTGAGTCACTTGGGATGGCTACCCTCTCGCCCACGGGACCTTACCTTCTGCTGTATATTTGAAACACCTGTTATGGCCGCCCACACGCCCATACGACCTTACTTACCTTCATGGTTGAGTTCCCGTGGTGTTGGCACTCGCACGCCCATTCCCGCACAGGGAACATTCCTCATGAGAACAGGGTAGAGGGACACACGTATGGGCTATATATACAAGTACTGTAGCACCGCGACAATGAGACTTCTGTATACCTAATGCCTCACCCGGGCAGGGTGAAACTATGGGCAAGTTTCTTTACGCCATTAGCCTCTGTCTACCCGGCAGTAATTGGGAACCTGGATGTTAATCGATTTGCGGATCGTATTCTGGAGTAATGGTTAGCCAGTGCAATTGGCGAGTTGTGCGGTCTTCTCGGACTATTCCTTGAGACTGGGTCATGCAGCTCGTTAACTTAAGGTGTGGCTGTTGTGCTGGCGACAGCTTCTACACCTTAAACAAATTCACGCCTAGATGGCCCTTGGGCCGGCCATCCTCGTTACACGAGGGGCATCCATTATTAATGCCTCACTCCACATCTGTTGTCCTTCACGGTTGCTAATACACCCAGACCCAGCCAACAGGGGCTAATTCCCGTTAATAGGTACACACGCACACACACACACACACACACACACACACACACACACTGATATATTGTGTGTATACTTTTCCCATGAAGGTAAGGAAGGTGTCCTCACCCCCTCACATTTACGACACGCTGGGTTATGGAGAGGCTGTTCTTTATGGCTCGACCTACAGACACGGAAAATATTTTAGGATAAAGTTGGTGGGTGAGTGAGATAAAGAGGGACCGTGAGTGGCTGTGAGTGAGCGAGTGAGTGAGTGACTGTGAGTGAGTAATTGAGTGAGTTACTGTAAGTAACTGAGTGAGGTTATCCCTAGCCAGCAGGACCTGAGGGAGTAAAGCGGACACTTAGAAGGCGTGATGTGGGCGTCTCGTAGGATTTCCATAATGGATTCATATACAGTGTGTGTGTGTGTGTGAGTGACGGCTGGCTGTACCATCATGCCAGGGGATCTTCTCACTGGTGGTGACGTCCCTGCCCTTATTCGTGGTGGCCCAGCCCTTAGTGGTGGTGGTGTCCCTGCCCTTAGTCGTGGTGGAGGTGGCCATGTCCTTAATGTTGGCTCTGGTAGTGGTTCAGCCCTTACTGGTAGTGGCTAACCCCTTATACGTGGCTCTGGTAGTGGTTCAGCCCCCACTGGTAGTGGCTAACCCCTTATACGTGGCTCTGGCAGTGGTTCAGCCCTACTGGTAGTGGCTAACCTCTGCCGTGGTTTGGCAGTGGTTCAGCCCTACTGGTAGTGGCTAACCCCTTATACGTGGTTCTGGTAGTGGTTCAGCCCTGCCGGTAGTGGCTAACCCTTATACGTGGCTCTGGCAGTGGTTCAGCCCTACTGGTAGTGGCTAACCCCTTATACGTGGCTCTGGCAGTGGTTCAGCCCTTACTGGTAGTGCTAACCCTTTATACGTGGCTCTGGTAGTGGTTCATCTTTACTGGTAGTGGCTAACCCCTTATACGTGGCTCTGGTA